GGCGCCACCCCCTGCCACGGGGAATTGGGGCTCCTGGGGAGACGGGGGCTGCTCCCCGGGGACGCAGTGGCAGGGGAAGGGACCACAGTGCCACGGGGCACTGCCCACCCCGGGGTGACAGTCCTCCCCCAAGCACCCCAGGACCCCCCACCCTGCCCTACAGGTGCTCCCGCATCCCCCGTCCCTATCGACGGCCGTGCAATCCCTTTAATCCCCACTAAAGCCCGTACCTTCCCGCTTTGCTAACAAGATCAATGAGGTTTCTAATTGGGTTTTAATTAAACCATCAATCTGCAACCAGTGACTCAATTACCAGCCTGGGCAGGAGAGGGTGGCCCCAGCCCTGTTGCACCCCGGGACAGCCCCCCCCACCCTGAGGCTGCGGCCCCTTCTCCCACGGGAACCCCGTGGGCCCCGGTCGTGCTGCTGAGGCTCGGTGCCGCCCGCCGCGGTGACTCACAGGGCATGGCACCCTCTGCCCACGGGCAGCACCTCCCACCAGCGCCACAGCCAGCACCCACGGGTGGCCGGGGGCTCCGTGACAGGGACCAGCCAGGGGTGCACAGCCGTGGGGCAGCAGTGCCCCTGGGGACCCCGCAGCCAGTTGAGGCTGAGAGGTTGAATTACCACCTTCCCCACCTCCAGCCCCGTGGCGGGGTGGGAACTGCCCCTCCTCAGGCACAACTGCCCCACGCCCCACGGTGCCTCCTGCTGGATGCCCCTGGCACCCACCGGGGTCCCTCCTGCTGCAGGTGACACTGTCCCCAGCCCCGCCGGATGCAATGGAGGGATCTGGCCGGGCACAGCCCTGGTGCCGGAGTCCAGCAGCCTCAGAGGACCCGGGAGCCCGGGCAGCCCCAGCCCCCCCAGTGGGCACAGAGCGGGGACATGGCTCCTCTCCCACACGAGATGCTCCCCCAGGAGAGGCTGCTCCGCGCAAGGGCTCTTGAGAGCCCGCTCCGGCTCTCGCCGCCTGCAACACAAAGTCAGCCAGATAAAAGCCGTCATGAAGAGGAGAGTGTGGTGGCAGCGGCGCTGGTGGGGGGCACGCGATGCTCCCCACACACAGGTGGGCTCCAACCCGCCTGCCTCGGCCAGGCACCAGCACCCGCGTACCCTCACCTCGCAGCCACCCTGCTCTGCACCCTCCATGGCACCAGGGGCCCAGAGGACTCGGGGACCAGCGCCCTCAATCCCCACAGCAGAGCCAGAGACGCAGCGTGGCTCACCCCAACCCGCTCTGGGGGGGGTCCTGGGGGCTGCAGCCACATCAGACCATGGCTGTACCCAGACATGGGGACAAAAAGATGTCCCCACTTCCGCATCCGGGACAGCCAGCAGGGAGGTGGCATCCCATGTGCACTGGCACGCCAGGGCCCAGCTCAGCTGGGAACACCCCTAGGAGCCCCTGGCCCCACACCACGGGGCACCCCCCACACCACAGCCCCCCCGAATGCCAGCGCTGGTTGGGACGTGGCTGCTCCGCACCTCTGCCCGGTGCCACCGCGCCTGATCCCAGCAGGACTTGGGAGCCCAGGGCAGGGACTGGACAGGGATCGTCCTGCGCCCCCAGGGCTCATTGGCTGCCACCAGTGGAGAGACAGGACAGACAGCCAGCAATGGGACAGACGGACAGCGTACGGGGACCAACAGGCTGGCCCAGCCAGAGCAGGCGCCTGTGCTGCTCTGAGCCTCACACCCCACCCTCACGCCTCCCCCAGGCTTTGCCATTAACACCCCAAAGCCGCTGCAGGAGGGGTGCCCTGCCCACCCATGGCCCTTCCAGCCCCCTGGCACCACCAGCCATGGCGGGCAGGGGACCAGAGGAGACCGGCCACATGCCCAAGGGGGGATAAGCCACTGCCAGCCCCCGTCTCCCCAAGGCACCCTGGGACCCTGGGTGGGCTCTGCGGGGCAGCCCCTTGCCCCATCCTCCTGCCGAAGGGAGCCACAGGGGCGCCCAGGGCGGCGCAGCAGGAGATGCAATAAATTCCTGGGGTGCCTGGCGCAGCCCCCGAGGAGCAGCCCGCAGCCGACACGCTCCCCCTCCCCGGAGAGCCCCGCGGGGCCGCGCAGGGCTTGTTTATTGCTCTGATTGCAGCGGGGTTGCTGGGATTTGCAGGCTGCGGCCCAGGGAGCCTAATTCCCCCCATAATTTATCTAATCCAGACACTTTGCCGCGCGGCTATAATTGCGGCCGAGCTGCCGCACTGCCTAACAATAAATATCAGCGCTCCGGAGTCCCTGGGACACGTCTCTGCCGCAGCCGCCCCCACCGCACCGCCCGTGCCCTGAGCCGGACGCTCGCAGCCGTGCCAGGGATGCGTGCGCAGCGGGTGCAGGCGTCTGGCTGTGACACCCCCAGCTTGGCACAGCCAGGGCACCGCTGGCACCCTCTGTGCCCTGTCCCTCGGGAGGCGCCGGGGCAGTGCCGGGTCACGGCACACGGCTGCGGGCGACAGGGTGGGGAGACACAGCCCCTCAGTCACGGCGGGGAGAGGGTGGGAGTATGGGAGTCTCCCACCAGCCGAGGTCCTGGCAATGTCATGGCATGGGGGACGAGGTCGGCAGGTGAGGGGGGGTCCAGTCAGAGGAGCGGGCACAGGGGGGGATGCCCGAGCGCGGCGGGGCGAGCCGAGCGCTTCGCCATTGTGCTGCGCCTCGGCACGTCGCACACATGCACAATTTATGGGGCCCGGGCTTCCGCCTGGCGACACAATCTCAATGGGAGGGGAAGGAGCTGCCGGGGGGGGACGCTCCTTCCCCACACAAAGGGGTGCGGGGTGGAGGGAGTCCAGGAGACCCCTGACACCAGCGGGGACCAGAGGATGCTCTGGCTGGGCGCACGTCCCCGCCACACCCCTGCGAGCTCACACCGGCGAGGGAAGATGGGCGATGGCAGTGGGCTGAGCTCCACGATCCCCGTGGGGGTGTCCACCGACTCGT